TTTAATTTATTTTTTAATCTACTTAAATTAATCCATTAGTTTTTACATTTAGAATTGGAGGCAGCATATGCTAACGAATAAAGACTTGCTAGATGAGCACAGGGACAACTGGGAAACATAAAGACGTTTCAGTGGTGCAGACATTTTAACATTAAAAAAACAAATTACCGCAAGCTTAAATGGGCTAACCCATTTAGGCCTGATTTCTTCCTGCACCCTGCCAAACAAAAGCTTCATTTTCAATTTAAATGGGATTAAATAGCCGACCTAAATGGATTAGCTTGTCTTCTCGACTTCACTCAAAATCTATTTGATATATTATTTAGTATATAAATAAATGTAAAAATATGCAAAGTGGGATGGGACCAGTCAGACAGTGAAAGTAGTACAAGAAAGGGAATAGAGTTAGGGATAATCTGGGTTCTTCGCAGTCTTAAATTGTATTGAATGCATAAGATGATTTTCAAAAGTTCCAATGAGTGCTAGGTCTAATAAAATAGGTAAGTTTTTCAAAAAATTCGTTACTCTCATTGAAAAATGTGCTCATATTTAGTATTCGGTAATATCTCAAACAAAATTACTTTGAATGGTAATATCTCAAACAAAATTATTTCAAATGGAAGGATACCTACCCGTATAACCAAAAAACCTTTCCAAGAGCTACTGAGGGGTGTTTGGATAAGATCAAAATCATACTTTTAGAAGTGCTTTTACGATATACGAAGTAAATATGTAGAGAAGTTTATCTCGATTTACAGAAAAATGCTTTTAAAAAGTGCTTATTAAGCTTCCTAAACACCCCCTGAGCATTCCTTCTAATATAACTTGGATTGGGATTAGAAAAAGTGATTGGAGTGAACTTTCTATTCAAACATTAGGGGGGAAAAAGGAACTTTCCTTCACAAACCCAAGTGTGGCAATGGTAGTTGCAAACCAAAGAAGATGTGCGTATATTTAATATCCGACAATACTTCGAATAGAATTACCTCCAATAGGAAGATGTCTATATTTTAGTAGGGGAAAAAAAGCTCTTAAACTTTATGCTTTTGAGCATGTTTGATTCGCCAAAATGGGAAAAGCATCAAATAATGATGGACAAGAAATGCAGTGAAAGGGATGAATGAGAGCTTCTAACGGTAGAAGGCAATGCACAATAATTCAAAATATTCTGATGAAAAGCAGGCAGCCCCTTTATTCACGGATTGCTGCTTCTGCTTTTGCCCATTGCTTCTATGAATGCCACATAAATTATATGTAATTGTTTTTATTTTGAAAAAGGTATGCATAGGTTCTCCTTACATTATAAACTGAACAAAGAGATAGGAACTTTGTTGCGCAAGGTGCCTTAAAATTGTCAACTGCACCCAAAAAAATTAAGAAAAATTATTGCATGATCCTAAAAAAAGATTTATAATTATAAAAAATTTATAACTAATAAATAAAAAATTTTAGTATAAAAAATAAAGATAAATTTCATACACCTAAATTTTATTAAGACTTTTTAATAATTATATTTACTTTTTGTAGGACCTCATGATGATTTTCCGGTAAAATTAAAGGTGTCTTTGTATTAAGTAAACATACTTAAAAAATATTTTCACATAAATTTATATAAAAAATTTTACATACTTAGTAAAATTATTTTTAAAATTATAATTTAATTTTTACCTAATTATCTATTGATACCCACATTCCAAAATGTGGCCGTGCCCAGAACTTCATGGAGCAGAGGAGAGGGGTAAGTAGGCGCAGCTTTTGACTTGCGCTTCAGATAACGGCATCGCCTGATCCTTCTCCATATTCACTTTTCGTAACTATTGCCGGCAATTATATCATGCATTTTCACTAACACCCCTCACAATAATTTTATACTTCCTCTGTTCTTTAATATTATTTCTGATTTTTATATAAGAGTTAGTTTCATTTTTATTTTGATATTAAATATAATGTCTTAATTTATTTTATCTATCATATTTATTTATTTTTATGATAGTCATTGTAATAATGATAGTTCTGATCAATACACTTTATTAACAAAGATATTTTAAGAAAAACAACACCTATTTATTATAAATAATTAATTTAACTAGTTTCATTAATACACTCAAACTAGTCAATTAAATCTTATATTAAGTACTAGAGGTAGTATAAAAGATGTTGGTTGATTTGGGCATATTAAAGAAGCTAACTCAATTATTTAATTATAATAAATATAACATGATCTTCCTAAAATATTCATATATAATATTATATTGTACATTAGTTTATAAGTTAAGTAAATTAGTTTGAGAAAAAAATTATATTAAGATATTATATTTAAAACTAAATCTAATCTTTCAACTAACTCATATATTAATGACAAAAGGTAGTGTATATATATACCTGTTTGGTGGGGCATTTGAGTAGCAAAAAGTAACTTACAAGTTTGATAAGTCAGGTTGTAAATTTGGGAGCTATTTGGAACAAGTTTTGACCAATTTGACTTATATGTCAGAAGCTACTTTTTAAAACACGATTGTAAAAGTGCCTAAAACTTAATTATGACTTTTGCAAAAATAGCTTTTGAAATTAAAATATATTTTTGCCCTTATGTTTATAATGTTCTTATCATTCTCTCTACATATTTCTTGTGCTTCCTAATCAGTTTTTAGTTATTTATTTTTAATATTCTCTAAACTAAAAATAATTTATAACTGTTTTTATAATATTTTTTATTTTTTATTTATATAAATTATGCAGAATATATCATCCAATTAATTATGAAATATTATTTGGTTAAAAAATTTCACATTACTATAATTTCTAATCTAAATATATTTTATTCATTAAATATAACTTTTTCTTATCATAATAACTTAAAATTATTATATTTTGTAAATTCATATTTTTTATTATCTCATAAAAATCATATTCATTTTGGTCATTCTATGACCCAAACTTACTTATCTAATCATAATCTGAACAACTTTTTTACTTTACAAACTACTTTTATAAAAATCAATCCAAACATAAATCATATTACTCAATCTAACTTTTTTAAAAGACAAATTGAAAATAAATTATTTTTTCTACCATATATTGATTCAATTTATAAAACGTGAATTAATGACAAATATGTCGTTTGGTTAACTATGTCTTTTCAAGTTGGGTTAATATGACATTTGATTTTTAAAATTTGGATTCATTTTGATTTTGTCTCTTAAATTTTAAACTCATTATGTTTTAAAAAGTTAGCTTCTAGAAGTATAATTATGTTAAAATCTATTAAAGTGTCATAGACCATGTTAAGTGGTAACACCTATATGAATACTGTATGGATAAAAAGAATAGGTCCCTAAAATACAACTGTTTAACACTCCTTTGTACTGTTCACTATACTGCATTGTGAGAATTTCTCTCTCCCTATACAATCATTCCTTGCTTTGCATTTGGAGAATTTATTTTTTTTTAACTGTTAACCACACAAAATCCAACTATATGATATTTTGTGATTTCATATTATCACTTTAATATTATTTATGATGCTTCAGCAAATTTTAATACTGTTATATCTCTAGAAACAAACGTTTTAAGAATAGAACCAAATTTCTGCACAAATTGTTTGATCAATATTGAGTTATCAGTCTTTTTATATCCTTAATAAAAATTTTCATAACAAGTGAGTGCCATGGTAATAATAAGATCCAGTATTAAAAATGAAATAAAACATGACATATTAACAGTCGAATTTTTTTTAATAGTCAGATTGACTATACACAACTGCTCAATGATTTTGTCAAAGAAAAATACTTCAGAAAAGGGAGCCAATGTACAAGGTTATCCGGATTGACTTGCGGCCCAATATTTTTGTTTACTTTAATTATAAGAATAATGTCGGTTGACTATAAAGCTTTTTATATGCCCGTGATGTGAATATGTGATTGTGACGCATCTAATTAAAAAATTTAAGTTATTTAGTTTTGTTAGACATTCATGCATTTGAAGTGGGAACATGAACCTTTCTTTACTTATCTGATACGAAAACACGAACAAATTAGTCGGTTTTATTTTTTTTATTAATTAGATCTAAATCCCATTGTTTTTATGATTATTTTTATCATGTTTTTTTAATTAAAAATGAGGTAGGTTTTTTAGATTTAAATCCCAATGTTTGTAAGATTATTTTTATCATGTATTTTTATTGAAAATGAGGTAGGTTTTTTTTTTTTTAAAGAAAAGGACGAAACTAAATTTAGTGCATCCAAATTAAAATTTAGAAATGACCATTATTAGATCAAGGGGATGTGGTTTGATTTTCTTTAAGAAATGGCTTTGGTTTCAAACGTTACAAATGATAAACAAAAATTATATTAAGATTACTAGAAAAATTATATTAAAAGAGATAGGCTTATTAATTTTATAAAAATTGATTTTTTGGCCAATCAATAATTTTATAAAATATTATTTAAATATTTAAAAATTTAAAAATTTATTTCTTTTGTGTATACTCCTGTTGATATACTGTTATCTTATAATTTTCCCACATACTTCTATATTATTTAAAATAAGCATAATTTTTTAGATATCTTTAAGGGAAAATTGCAAAAAAAATCCGTCAAAATAGAAAAATTGTAACTAGAGATCCGTGACAATATTAGTACGTGTTTTGATAATAATTATATGGGTTTTAACAACAATTTTATGAAAAGGTACTTGTCTGTAACTTTTTAACTTCAGCGGTTTTTTTTTTTACTATTTTTCCTATCTTTAAGCTCTTGCTACTATCTCTTGTAAACATTATTTTATTTAATTCTAATCTAATATATTTACGGATGATATTTATTTATATTACATAAGTAATACATAGATTTTCTCGAATATATATACATATATAGAATCAAGTTCATGATTACAAATTATTGGAATTGCAATTATTATTTTTGTTGTTATTGCTCTGTTTATTTGTGACGCTGTGTGGTAGAAATCCTAATGAAACCGCTTGCACATAATGCCAAGTGCGTGAGATAAAGAGAGGGATTGTGTGTCATATAAGAGTGTGTGGGGTTACTGTTTTGGTTGATCGGAAAATTTCGCAGCGGCACACACGGAAAGGGAGCAACTTTGCTTTTCCAAAAGAGTTCAGAGACAGAAAGCCAAAGGAATTTTTTCGCTTTTCTCACGATACACCAATGGGCAGTGAGAGCAAGGATAAGATTGGCGAGAGTGGCAGAGGGCAGGGGATGCCGCCGGTGGTGAAGAAGGTTGTGCAGAGTTTGAAGGAGATCGTTAACTGCCCGGGCTGTACGGACCAAGAGATCTATGCCGTGCTTGAAGAATGTGAGATGGACCCGAACCGTGCCGTTGAACGGCTCCTTGCCCAAGGTCTTGCTCTGTACTGTATTCTCCGTTTGTGTTTATTGTTGGAGCAGGAGTATCTTTTCAATCTTGTGTTTGGATGTTGAGAAGGCTGATGATGATTATTGGAAAGGACTAGTCGTATCTTGTTGTTCTTTCCGCGCCAGTAGCTGAATCGACTTTTGTTTTTCTTGGTGTTTGTGGACTTGGATTTTTCTAACACCTTTTCTTTTTAAGGACTTAAAAAGAAGTGTCTTATGAATTTTGTTTTGTCGCTAATTCTCTGTTCAGTTCGTCGTATGAGTAAATACTTATTATAATTTATCCGGTTCCTGACTTTCTGGTCGATTACGGAGAGAATCGCAAACTTCATGATGAATTCTCAAAGTGGAAAAGTTGTGGGTGGAATGATGTGATTTCCGTTGATGTAATTACTTATTGTAGCCTTTGTTCCTTTGCTGCTATATTGTCAAGAGGACCTATAATGAAAATTGAGTCGTGACTCCGCGTTTACAGCCCACTAATGGGCCGCATAATTTATTGAGAAAACTACGTCATCTATCCATTTCATTCATATTTATGGAAATGGAATTAAGATGTGTTCAGGTGTGTTTTTCTAGATAAAATTCTTCATTTTTCTTCCTTTTATCTTGCTTTCATACTGTATTCTTGCCCTTACTTTTTTCGCAGTATCTATATTAGAAATTCATACTCCTTTAACAATCAACTTCGTAATGCTTAAATGTAGATACTTTTCACGAGGTGAAAAGCAAACGTGAAAGAAGAAAAGAGGTATTTTTTGCATGTAATTGTTGGTCTTAGACTCCTAGTTGCAGAGGTTTCTTAACATTGTGGTAAGGATGCACATATTATGGGATATATGTTCTTTTTATTTGGTCAGATGAAGGAGGCAACAGACTCAAGGCCGAGGCGTTATCATGTTGATTTGAGTCGTGGAGGCAAAATTAATAGTGAACATAATGTGCACAGTGGATCAACACATGGAATTTCTAGCGGTATCTTATTTTGTCTCTAAACATCGTCCGCCTTATGATACTTGCAATTTCCTTACTTTGTCAAATATGTCTAATTTCTGTCAGAACTTGGTAAAGCCGCAGAGAAGGGGGAGGTTGGGTCAGTTTGTCCATCAGTTACATCTTCCATGACTTCTGTCATAGGGAAAGATATGGCTAGGTTAGTTCTTCGTGCAACCTGGTAGCTTAAGTGAATTTCTACTGTTACCCGTTGGTGGTGCCTGTCTTGATGCTTCACCTATACGTTAGAATGTCTACTTGTGTTATAGGGAAAGATACCAAGGTGTAGTTATTGCTTCACCTATATTTAGAAAATGAAAATATGGTTCTTTTCATTTCCCTTCTTCACAAAGATGTGTTGGCATCACTAACATAAAAAAATTTGTAATTTAATGTTTGTAAAATATTGAATTATTCACCCTAAGTCATTTGCAGTGATTCCTTCCGTACGGATAACAGACAACAGTCATTAGGGTCAGCCGGAGTTTCTTCAAGACTTCAACCCAATTTGCTAGGAGCGAGCAAAGGACATCTTTCAATGGCGGACATTGTCAGAATGGGTAAGCCTTCACAAGATGCCATTTCGCACCATTCTAAATCTCTGGGTGTTTCTGCATTGACAAAGCCGGAGTCAAGCCTAAGTTCACACTATTACAATCAAACCCACCAACAAGATTTTAATCATGAATGGCCTGTAATTGAGCAGCCAGTGGTTGGCAATGAGTTACATGCTTCAAAGTTGCCAGCTTTATCAAATGCTAATGTGCCGTCTGACCATTTTAACCCACAAAGCGATAAAGATAGTTTGTTCAGGAGCTGTGTACCTGATGAAGCCCAAGTTCCTCTTCAGGATATTGCCAGTGATAATGTTGATTCTGACAATATCGAATCTGGTTTCCTACCTAGCAGACATCCTACTATGAACAATACTGGACTAGCATCTCACTCAAACTATAACTTAAGGAGCACGAGTTCCACTAATTCCCATAGTTCTTCTGATCATCAAAAAGGTACCTATTTCAACTTTAGTTTGAGATGGAGAAAGTTGTCTTGTCTTTTTTTGTTGTTGTTAATTTATGAAAAATGGTTGCAAGATTGTGTTCAGTATTCATTATATATTATGCTCTGAACTTGACAATTTGCTGTGTTGATGTGTGGCATAATATTTACTCCTGTGTTGTAAGATTATGTTCTTTAGGTATAATTCTGTAGTTTTTTGGTCTATTCCTCCATGCTTTATCTTTCTAATGTGATTTGGTGGTTCTTTTTTCCTTATGATATCTTGCCCTCCTTTGCCTTCTAAATATAAATGCCACACCTTCTACATGGATCTATGAGAAAATGCTTTTATCAAGGTTTCCACACGTTCCTTTTTTCTTATTGTTTTATGTGTTGAGCAATGTCTTAGGCTGTTAGCTAAATCTATAGCCATAAAATTTGAAATGTACTAGTTTGATTAGTCTGATTGAAACTTATCTAATCTAAAATGCAGAATCAGCAGAATGAGCTGTATTCTGCTTTTTGCTGGCTTGATGCCTGGAAAGATATGGGTCTATGATATACTTTGCTGTCTGGCATTTGCTTTTTTCATTTCTAGGAAGTTTGTCTCTGTCCCTCTTACTTTCTCAGTTTCACTAATGATGCTCCAAGTGTTCTGTTCTGTTTCACCATTGTCTGTACCCAGGATTGGTAGGGATCTAACAACTATTATATTCTAATCGTTAAGAGTTGAATTTAGAAAATAATGCCTCCAGAAATGCAGTTGGCAGCAGTTGGCAACGAATCTTGCATTCAGCATCTGAAATTGAGCCACCATTTAGTTACCAAGATCCTAGAATCTAAAAAGGGAAATAAAATAAACTGGCGATTGTTGACATTGAATGACCTGATCAGGCAACAAATTTATTAAATGCAATAAAGGACCTGGATGAGTAATCACATAGGAAGAAAACAGAACTGTGAAATAAATAAATTGACTCATGTTAAAGTCTAATTTGGTATGCCAGGCTAATCCAAAAATAGTCGCTGATTAGTGATGCATCTGCAGATGTTTCATTAGCGGCTTCAGATATCCAGCGATTGAGCTTGCGGGACTCCAAAACGGAAGTACTGTCAATGGAAGATAACTCTGCATTAGTTCTTCCAAGTCATGTACAAGGCTTGACTGATAAATGCTCACATTTGAGTTTTGGAAGATTTAACAGTGGAAGTAATTCGACATCTTCTGCAACGCTTGCATCCCATGCTTTGAATAGTGGCTCAGGAGAGAAGGCTGCAGCTGTAGATGGTGGTTCATTGGCTCAGAACTTGGATGCCAGGCATTTTCTTTTGCAGATCCATTCTCTGATATATTCAGCCTTGTCTTTTTAACTTATTTTCTTTATTTGCTTTCTGCAGCAATTCTTTATACCACGTTGATAAACTACTTGGGCGTGATGTTTTTAAAGAAGCAGCGATTGATAAAAAGTATGACTTCCTTTCATCTTTTCAGCAAGAGCTTGTGAAGCATACATCTCTGGAAGCGACCATTAATCGTGAATACACCACCATGTCATCCGTTGCTGATCCTAGTTTCCAAAAATCCCAATGGATGTCTAATCCACTACCTTTTAAGAGGCCAGGCCTGCAGAATGGAAATATGTCTACATTTTCTAGAGAAATGGTAAAGATATGGACTATCTAACTTTAAGTTCCTTTACTTGATTTTCAGTTACATGTTTGTTTTCCTTCATGTTTAAGTTGTTGCCTATTGAAAAAAAATCAGTGACTGTATATGGGCAGTAGCAAAAATAGTAATATGCTCCTTTTTTTTGTTTGTTGCATATGTGGTAACTCTGGTGGGTGACCTGGATCCATATGTCGTGGTTGTGGACTTGGTTTGGTTTCTTTTGCCCGATATATGATCTAGTCAAACTGTGATGTGCCAGTAAAACATGTTGGGGCATTAGATGTCTTAAAACCATAAATTACAGAAAAATGTTCAAAACAGAACAACGAATGAAAGTCCTTTAAACCATCCCAGAAGGAAAGAGAAAGGCCTTATAAAATTATTTGCGCCTTCAAGCTATTTGCATGTCAAATATAGCAAGTCCCCTGAGAAAAAAGAAAAGAAAAGAAAAATACCCATGTGATGTGCACCAAAGAGAAGCTATATATAACTCTATTCCAAAACGTATTTCCATGCAAATATATGCCCTTGAAATGCAGGTATTCCTCCTCTCTAGCTAAACTAACCGCAAGATCCCGCAGAAGGAAAATAAATTTAAAAAAAAAAAAAAAGACCCAACAAGATCCCACGTTGCTAAACATCATAGCCGTTCTTGAGTTTTGTTAGTCTTCGTGGTTATTCATCTACTCGTGACTGTTTTCTCTGAAAATCACTTTTTTTAATTGAGACAACTGTTAATTCAAATTTTGTACCCGGTGATTTGTTGGGTTTCTTTTTCTTTTCTTTTCTTTCTTTTTTTTTTTTCCCCCACAATTGCAACCTACAACATACCCCAATGCCATGTTATCCATAAGCACATTAGCCATGTCCTTGTTGCTTTCTAAGGACCTTGTCTATCTGGTTAGAATAGTCAATTGGTGGCTGATCAAATCACTGGTTGTCTTATGAAACAATGACCACCTGCGAGATACATCAATGTAGGGTTGTCCATAAGCCCTCCATCCATCTCCACGTCACTTAATAAAGACTTTGCCTGTCTGGTTATGGAGATTTCAAGTTACTGTGCATTCATATTTGTTTTGAGGTGCACTTGCTTAGATAAAAAATTTGACAGATACACAGGGTGACACACAAATTTTTGTACTTGTTTATTAAGTTTGAACAATATTTTCTCATGGTTTCCCTTCTAATAAAAGGGAATCTATGCTGGTTTGTTCAGATACCAATTGGATTAGTGTCATAGTGGGGGGCAGCTGTTGGCGGTGTGGGCTTTCCAATTGAGTGATTCGCTGACTGGGTCACTGTGCAATTCATGATTATGTTAATGTGAATATATCTAATCAAGTAACTCTCTTTTGGCGATTCTTTATTTCTACAAGAAGACCCTATATAACTTGCTCCATTGTCATGATCTAAGACGGAACTATGAATTTAGGGCCAGTGCATGACCTTTAGTGCCTTGGTTCTACTTATCTGAGTTCAAAAGGTGGTCAAAGGGATCAGGTGCCCTGTGCTCGATATAATGAATTTTTATGATTTTTACCTGAGATGGGCCATCGATTTTCTTTTTCTGACAGCTGCTGAACCATGCAGGTCATGGAACCTCGATTTTCTCTGCCTCAGAGGTCTGCACTTCTCGAGGATCTCAGAGTGCAGTCCTTCCAACAGCTGGAATCCGATGATAAAAGAGGATATCATCAACAAACCCAGAACCAACAATATTTGCCACCGGTTATGCAGCAAGCATTTTTAGATAGTTCTGCATACGGTCATTCTCTAGCGGACATGCAGTACAGCCATCCACAAAATAGAAAGGAATTTATTCCAAGTGGATTGACCCCTGCTAGAGGCAGAGATGCATTTGGTTTTGGAAATCCTGGCTCTTATAATCCTGGAAGCTTTCTGCCTAATTCATCTATTGGCTCCATGATGCCTTCAAGTAACTTTGATGATATTCTACCATCTCAATATGCCAGTGGACGTAATGGAAGCTTGGTTCAACAGGTAATACTTGTCAACGAAGAATGAGCTTTTTATAGAAAGCTGATGTAAACTTGTTGATGAGTGTGTTCTTTGATGATGGTTGACGCATGATTTGATTTAAATGCAAGTGACCATTAGACCATGGTGCATGTTGGGAAAAGAACAGTAAGGGCAGTTTTGATCTGTATGTTAATTTCTGTGAACCTAGTTCTGAAATGGAAGATTATGGCATCAAACTGTATTTTCCAGTTATTTGAAAGATGTTTCTGTAATTTGTCTTTTTTACGACTGTGAACCTAATTTCTTTGTCATGCCTATACACTTTGAAACTAGAATTTCTCTCGGTCAAATACAGAATGACAATCCTTATCATACGTCGACCATAATCTTTGTGGCACATTGTCAAGTTTTATGACTGCACGTGTACCCGTTTTCTTACCTTGTATTTATTGGCATTCAATGATCAGCATGGTGGCTTTTCTACATGGGATTACGGGCAGGAACTGAGATCAGCGTCTCTTCCAGAGAGCATGCGCCTTAGCTCCCTGGGACAACCACGCCAAGCTCTACCTCAGGTTATGACCCCAGGATATTCTGATATCTATCACTCCGGGACAGGGATTGGAGCACAACTTCAGCGCCAGGTTGGTTATCAAGATTTCTCATCCAAGCAATCACGTCAATTTGGCAATACAGCCACCAGCAGCTTACATTCTAGTCATACTATGCCCCCTTTTTTTCACTAGGGAGTACATTGGCAGGTTTAATAGGTGATTAGTGTTTTTAACCCCTTCAAATGCTTGATTGTTAATTCAGTTGTACATACTCTAAAGGGAGTCTAGCACGTCTACTGTGATTTTGCCTCCTTTTTGTATTATGTGGCATGAGTTTTTTTCTAGATCAGGCTTTTCTAGCTGGAAATATTTTAACTGAAGCAAGAGAAATATGATTTTTGTGCTAATTAGAGTTCTTGTTTTTTGAAGTACAACGTTTTATTTGAAATTTCCTATGGGGATCTCTACTACAATGTTATATTATAAGGTCAGAGAGATGGTGGAGAGTAGCCATTTGGAATCTTAATATGCTATTCAGAGGGGAAGGTAATTGACACAAGTCAAAATTTATGGAGGGTCAGGCAATGAGACTAGTATATAAACAATACCGCAATATGCTGAGTCTGAAGAATAGATTATGTACTATTAAAATAGTGACTGATATTGATGACTTGTGGTGGGGCGGGCTAGTGGTGTTACTAAACCCCGTCCAAAGCTACAATCATTCTTTTGGAATTCCATTTAATTTAAATTTAAATATCACAAAGACACTAATTAAGCTCCCTTAATGGAGAATGATGAAATTTGCTCCTGGTGCCTGCACGTCTCAGAGGGGACAAGAATAGATGAAACAAAACCAAACATGAGTAAAACCAGAATAGGCATCTCATTGGTGATACCTAGTTTTGGGTTCAACTGAATAATTATTGGGTGGGATTTGTTGGTTAATAATTTGGAGGAAAATTCTAATCTATTGAACTGACTCAACCTAATAGGATAAGGCATATTGTTAGAAACTGAGCAATTCATTAAATAAAATGCAAATTGGGTATAAACTAATTCTAATTTCTAACATCAGTCATACTAAAGTTGTTGGTTGTTGATGACATTTTGATTCATTTAGAACCCTAATTTAATCTATGGTCAATCAATCACATAAAATTGTTGAAACAAATGTGACCACAATTCTTAGAGCCAAACAGGGAGCAAGACAAGTTGGTATATACCACAAACACCTTTATTTTCTAATAGAAAGCCAGGGAGTTGTGATGATAGGCGGTGGATCATAGGAAATCATGACATGGAAGATAGCCTTCAATTATTGTACTTGCTTTCTCCAACTTCACCACACTAACGTTACTATTTTCACTACTATTATTATTTATTGTGTATTATAATAATAGTTCAATTAAATTGGAAAAACTATCATTATATTATGCCCATAGGTATCTTTCAAACTCCATTGGCCTAAAGTGCTTATTGCGATAAGGTTTTGGTCGGTTAACTAGATCAGCTTTTACTATGCTTATTTGATAAATTAAGCAGTGTTATGTTTGATATAAATAAAAATTAAAACTTCTCATTGTAAAACCACAAAATTGGTACATAAATATTTTTGTAAGAAATTAAAATTGAATATACGTATGATTCACACGATATTAGGTTGAAATAGTGTTACCATTTGCCTTTCGGTATTTTAAATGTTATTTTACCAAATACATACCTTTGATGAACAATGGTACACAAAAATTAATACTACCTACTGTCCTAATTATGAGAACTAGTTGATTAATTTGAGGAAATTAAGAAAAAAAAGTTAAATTAGTTATTTATAATAAATATGTGTTGTTTTTCCTAAAATATCCTTGCTAATTAAGTGTGTTGGTTAAAATTATCATTGTTAGAAAGACTACCTTAGAAAAAATATATAAATATGAGAGACAAAATGGATTGGGGTTTTATATTTAGGATCAAAATAAAAGTCAAACAAGGTTTGATATTATGAAGCGGAGGTAGTATAAAATCTATCATAATAAGTATGGATAATTATAAATATTAAATATTATACAAATACAATCCATTCTTTTTAGATTTGGCACACGAATCACCAAGATATTTATATCGTGACCATCTACAATAATTAAAAAAAAAATCTCAAAAGCCATTTTTCTGTGCTTAAAAATGAAATTGATTTTTAGGGGGAGGACAATGTTGACATGGTCCACCACATGAGAAGCTATAATTAATAGCAATCAAAAGCTAAACACAAAAGTGGGTTATCCTCGGAATAGCTTCGAGTGGGAGAAATCGTGCCAACAATTCTACATCCTCAATGTTTTTTTTTAAATCTCATGCATAATTAGATTTAAAAAATAAATTACAAATAATTGAGTAAAGTTATTGTACTAGGTATAACAATAATTAATGTTACAAGTTGGGACGGTGAAGAGGAAGAACACATGGTTGATGCTTGAGGTGGGGAACTGAATGAGTATGTTAGAACCAAGGGCTTTGGAATCTATGATATAATAACTAAATAATATTTTAATAAAAATAATTATATTTATATATAATAATATATAAAAAATAATTTTAATAATAAGTCCACTTGTTAATATGATAATGCCACAATATATGAAATAATATATCCTTATAAATGGTTTGAAAATATATATTAGGTTTTTTTGATAAGTTAACTGAACCGTCAACGAATCTGATGAGACAGTATTGGTTGAAACATCTGAATGTAAACTAAATTAACAAAAATTCAAAAAATCATGTGAAATTGTAATACTAATTATAACATTAATCATGTCCCATTTGCTACTCTTATAATATAAGACAATATCTTTTATGTAATGTAAAGATTGATGCATATGGTATTCCCTTTGTAAAGATTAAGAAATATGGTTAAAGTTAGTGTGACTTCTTAAATATATTACAAATTTAGAATATTTAATTATAAGCGTCACTTTTTATTATTTTTTATTTAATAATTTGGAAAATATTTTTCATATATTTAATTTTTTTTCCTTTCAATTTATGATATTCTGTTTGTATAGTACGAGTTGGGTCAGTGAAGGACACAATGAATGAGTATGCTTCAATGGGGTCGGTCTAACAAACTTTGACTCACATGATTTCGCCAAACAAAGTGCAACAGAGTCACTCGTGTTTTCACCTTTCTTGTCAACAAACCCCCAGCCGATCCCTATTCTGTGGGTTCAACTGGTGAAAAAGTCGGAGTCTCTTACTAAAAAGAGGAGATTTGATTATGGAAAGTGTTATTTTACTGTGACTCCAGTTGCGGTGCTGGGAAAGGTATCACCACAATAAAGTGAAGCTGAGATATTCCTATCTATTGGACAAAAAAAAAAAACTTGCTTGTAATACTCCTATATCTATAGGAACAAGCCCTAGTGGATTAAGTAGTAGCTGTTCTGTTTTTGGATCGTGGATGAGCTCAATCCCTTTCTTAAAATTTGAATACCAAAAAAAAAAAAAACCATCCAAAAATGAAATTTCACAACATTCTAATCACTACCACATTTTTTTTATCAAAATAATTACTAGTACATAAAACACACATAATATATACTATCTAGGGGGAGTAAAAGAAGTTCGATAACCTCAAATTTTGTAGAGAAAAAAATCATGTTAAATAAAATGAACACTTAGATAAAATTTAAATTTGAGTTGACAATACTGAATCTAGTTAGTAAGAATAAAACTCATAAGAGCATGAACTTGAATTTCGCTTTAAAAGGAAATGAAACATATATTACTTAGATAATAAGTGCTTGTTAAGTCTATGCCCAGCTGACATTAAGCATTTTTTAAAGCTTTTTTAAATGTGAGGCTGTGAATTAAGACTCATAGTTTAAGATATGATGGGTTAGAAAACCCATCTAACTTTTTTTTAAAACAACACATTTTGTGTGGTCATGAATGTGGAACTGGAATTTAATATCAGCTCATTCTCAACTTGAGATTTTAAGATATTCATATGTGTGACTATATATATGTACATTGTTTTTAATACTAACCTATTTATAATTTTATCTTGGTGGACTGAATTTATTTAAAAAATTGCATAAAGACTTTATATTATGTGCTGTTATTATTATGCATCGCCTATAACATGTAGGACAAGAATATAAATATATAATAGTAAAATAGAGAGAGAAAAATTAAACAAAAAGCAAATTCCATAATTCACTCCATTACTAACTTCTATGATTCCAGTTTCTCTCTTCTACCTCCATCCTATGTCCTATCCAATGATAATGAGATTATAGCTATGTTTATGTTTAGAAGCCTATTAAAATGTGCTTCTGTTACTTTTGTGCTAAACCTGCTCTAGTGAAAACATAATTTCGATTAATATTAATAGGTTTTGAACACTCAAACCCTTCAAATTTTAGATTTTTATAACACCCCAGATTCAGATTTTGGGTTCGCAGAATTTAACTTTAGTCTTGTATTACACTAAGTAACCAGAAAAGAGAAAGAGAAGAAGGAAAAAGAAAAGAAAGAGGGAGAATAAGTTCTATAGAACAGTCAAAAGAAGAGAGAGGAGAGAAGAGGAAGAATATAAAAAAGAGAAAGGCTAAAATGAGACACATCAGCAGTCATCATTACAATCATATGATTCATATCACTTACCAGCTTGCCAGCCATTCTGCCTCTAATATTCCAAAACACTTCTTTCCCTTCTTCACATTGTTTTCAACCTTCTTCCCTCCTTTTCGCCTCTGCTATCTTCCTTCATCCCCAACAAGTCTTCACCTTTATATTTTTTTAATTCTCATCATTACCCCATTACTCGATCCATCCCTTTTCTTCCACAAAGTCACCACTCTTCGTCTCTGCTTCATACTTTATACCACCTTCCTTTATGTTTCGGTATCAGTGAAGCTTCACACTGAACAAGAACAAGAAGCTCTGAAGAATCAGAGGAAAGAAAAGACTTTGAAGATGAGAGGGAGTGTGAGGTTTCTTCTTGTGTTTCTCTTAGTGGGTCAATTCCTCTCTTCTGGTAAATTCTATCTCTCACTTTCTCTCTTCTCTGTTTTTGGTTGTTCATCTTGTGTCCTTTCTTTTTCTGGTTCCTGCGGTTTTTCCTGCTTCTGATACTCTTCTTGCATATTTTCTCTGCCTTTTCTCTTTCACTAACTGATTCTTTTGAAACCCAGAACCTAGTTTCTAAAACCAACCATAGAGGTGCATTTTCTGCGCTGAACTTTGGCATTCTAATTGCAGTGTTTTTATTGTTACTGTTCATGTTTGGTTTTGGCCCCCCCCCAAAAAAAAAAAGTTTCTATTTGGGTGGTTTGCCTTTTTCAAACGGATTTGTTTACATTAGGTTCTTTTCTTGGAATATAAGTTTAATAACAGAGCATCTACCTTTTTTCTGTCTTAATAAAACAACCAACTTTCCAGGTTCAAAATGTCGTCTCTTCCATAGCTTGGTTAAATTTTTACCCAGTTCCTTCACGTAATTAATTTACATATACATATATATATGCCTCGATTTTCGACCCATCTTTCTGGAGTTCAACATCAGCAAACTGTATTGCAACAACCAAACTTTCTTTTCCAGTTTCACCGTTTCTTGAAAAGATCAAAGGGCCCAATTCCCTTGACTCTTAGGTAACCTCTGTGCATAGGATGCCCTACTTGTCTCATTGTGTCCGTTTAGGTGTGTAATACGTCAACACACATTGATTTTACAGTCACATGATACCTAAATACTTTTTTTTTAAAGACTCAGTTTTGACATGCTGCTGGTCAAAAAAAGTTTTGACATGCTTAAACATTTGGGGTAATGAAGTGTATATATTCCTAGGAATTTATCAGCCAAAAGGGATTTAGTTTTGAAAGGGTGTTTGAGAAACTATTGTGAAGAGGGGAAGAAAAGCTGTGGGCTAATCAGTCACAATGTGAAGACAGCTAGCATGTCTCTTTCTCTTTTCAGAAAATACAAAAAAAGATAGTTTCTGGATTTCACATCTGTTTTTCGCTTCACATGCTTTGGAAAGAGAACAGAAGAAGCCAACTCTCACCTGAAACATCATTTCAATTGAAACACAGGTACTTCAAGTAGGCCAGGGAAGAAGAAGCGAGAAGAACTTGATCATGTGAGCTATTATTTACCAGAGGATCATCATCATGAAGGTAACAGACAACTTTATACTACCGAAAGAGACATTACAACTCCAATCACTACAGTTCCAAACTTAGTTCCCACAACACCAACATCTCCAACTCCAATCTTGAACCCTAATTCTAATCCAGATGTCACAGTCTCCCCAGCCAACACAGTCCCAATCACTGCTCCGAATTCTCCACCAGCTTCCTTTTCTTCTCCTCCTCCTTCTTTGGGTTCTAGTTGGTGTGTTGCTACACCATCTGCTTCACCCACTGCTTTACAGGTTGCTCTGGACTATGCTTGTGGATTTGGTGGAGCTGATTGTTCTGCAATTCAGCCAGGAGGAAAATGTTATAACCCTAATTCTGTTAAAGATCATGCTTCTTATGCATTCAATAACTATTATCAGAAGAATCCTGTGCCTAATAGTTGCAATTTCGGTGGAACTGCCGTTGTCACCAGCACTAACCCAAGTAAGTAAAAGGCCCCCTTTTTTTTCCCAGAACTTCTTACAAATTTTCACTGTGACATTTTCTCAGTGATGTTACCTGCATTTTGAAGTGAACCCAAGAGAAGAAGCGCCTGGAAAATTTAATAGGTACCCGACCGAAATAAAGAGGCACAGTGTTCTTGTCTAGCGTGTGGATTGAATTGGATTCGAGTCCTGTCATTTTTTGAAAAATTGACATTATTAACTTTGAAGAGAGAAACAAATGCGTGTGTGTGAGGGAAATGATAAAGTTTATTAGAGCAACAGAATGTGCAACTTGCGTGGACCCCATACACATTAATGTTCATTTCTGTTCAAAATCCATCTTGACGCGAAATGAAACAATGGAGGATTCTAGGGTTTTATGCATCCTGTGACATTTTCTTTTTTATGTTAACCGAAAATTGAAAAACTACAGAGGATTTTTGTATTCATTCTCACTAGAGCAAACCCGGAAATTTAGAAGGCCTCTTTCTTACGCGTATGCAACTACTGATACACAAAAACCGATTTAGATCTCCTCCAGTTATCAGGGAATACGGTGAAGAGAGAAAAGGGGATAGAAAATAAGACTTACTTTTAATCGGCCTTATATTCATAGAAAAGGAGTATTCTTGGTTGTGATAATTGCACGTAAACCGATGGAGGATTCATGGGTTACATTTTTCAAAGACAATCAGGAAAAAAAAATAATCTTTGGTTGCATCGTTGGATTTCCTTCACGGCATAGCAGCTACGTGCAGGAAGAACCACCTTAGGTGAAGCGAAAGTCAAACTCGGTTCTTTTCTTCTTTGTTGAAAACTGCACCCCAAAAGCTTTATTCCAAACCAGCAAAATTTATATATCTATCATCTTCCTTTTTGAAACAAACCTAGTTGGGAAATATTTAACCTAGTTGTCTGATATGCAGGTACAGGGACATGTCAATTTCCATCCACAAGGTGACATTTTTCTTCCTTACCCAAAACTGATGGTGGTTTGTCGATATTCTTTGTTGCCAGAAATGAAATGACTGTTCTGAACTTTTTGCAGCACAAGCTCATCAATCTTAAACACAACAAACTCAGTGGGTGCTAATGTGTTTGGCTCAGTTCCAGTCCCTTCTACTTGTGAAGCTCTCACATCAAATAATGGCTTCTTCCCTATTCATCTCATTCCATGGCTTCTCACTTCATTTTTGGCAACCAAATCCTCTAAAATGGACCCATCACTTCAAGATTTTGCTTCTCTCAATAACCAAGTTTTGCCTCTTTATATGAAACTTACATTAACAACACAAGTCCTCTTCACCATCTGCACGGTTTGGGAAAAAGAGAGAAATTAAATGTGAATGTTTTTCTGGCGAATCATGTATTTGTTGGGGAGAATTTGAGGCCAACAACAACATCAAGCAGACATAGATTCTAGAGATACCTTTTCAGAAAAAGAGAAACACTTGTATAAACTTAACAAGTATATACAGTTTCCTGTTTTGTATTGTAAATATATTATGTTACTTTCCTGTTTCTTGTGATAATAGTATGCTTAATACTTGTAGTTGACCAATTTGACTGATTTGCATGTTAATATGCAAGATAAATGCAGTAATTTCGACTAAAATATGAAATAATTCTTTATGGGATGTTTATGTATATTTCAACATTTCTGCTAAAAAAAATGTATATTTTAAAATTAAGAAATTATGTAATTCCAACAAAAAAAAATTTTGTTTTTTGGGGGAAGAAATATCATGAGGAAGTTAGATGTGATAAGTTATTGAGTAGAGAAAAACAGACTTTTCAAAAGCTGACACAGAACACAATAAGCAGAAAAGATAATATTCTTTTCAAAAGTGTAATATTTTGCTAGAAAAATTATCCGCGGCACACTCTTTTAAAAGAACTCAGTTATAATAAAATAACATTTTTTCACTATTTTTCTTAACGAGGATTTTCTTTTTTGGGGGGGCTGAAGTGATATTTTTATAAAAGAGTTTAATAATTAAAGCTTAAAGGACTATATCCATTTTCTTTCTCCCTACTCCTTTTCAAAATTGCATTGTCATTTCAAATGCTCCCTTTTTTTAATTATCGTGTTAATTTATTAGAGATAAGTGAGGATAAATGCATGGGACTAAGTTATTTAAATCAATATTTATTTGTTAGGCCAAAAAAACAAAAAGGAAAAGCAATATTTCGTTGGCATGAGTAGGTGATTGTTCTGTTATTTGAATTGATGGATTAATGCATCACAACATCTGATATGAATCATGTTTTTTCTTCTGGACAACCTTTCTATAATTATGATCATAGGTACTCACTTACTAATTAAAAAAATAATTATGTTAATGTATCAAAAAAATTAATGTGCTAATTTTTTAAAATTTTTTGAATATGTCCTTAACTGAACTAACAATTAATGCTAGTAGTATTTTGGACTTCACAATAAACCATAACAAATATTATCTTCAAGTTTCTAAATAAAATAAAATAAAAACAACAGTTTTCTTGAAAATTAGCATTTGAACATAGCAGGAATGAGTATGTTTTTGGTGCATATCACTGATGGCTATTTTCTTATTCGACATTAGGCCGGGGAAAGAACCTACGGTGCATGTTATAATAAGAACCAGTCAAAAAACTTAAGAAGGAAAAAGAAAATGGTACAAAACGACATTAATCTCTAATGTTAGAGACTCGCCCAACCCAAATCGACATGCCCAGTTCGGGCTGGCTTTGAGATGGCGTATTCATGTTTCATATGCCACAGTTGATGAGTTCCACCTTAGTTGATTAATCAATCTGCTAACTTCAGAATAACTAATCAGATCCGCTGGTCGTAATTAAATGAGACAATACATTCACAATGAAGTTCTTCCCACTTCATCAAATAATTACAATGGCCAGAACACTGTACTGTCATCGAAATTTTATACATTCAATGCCACATTTTCTTGGCTACAAGACATCAACAAGGACTACGATACCATCTGTACAAACTTCTGATACTGAGTTGGACGGTTTTTCATATGCACATTAAGTTATACCGCAGATAAAACATAAGAACCAGAGCAATGGATGATGAGGGGAAAAAATAACAAATGCCAAACAGAATTATCCTTTCACAAGTTGGCATGCACATGACATGACAGTACCCAGACACTGCAAATCAAAGTGCTGCAATGCCCGTGTCACGACATGTCACTTCCTTCCTTGGACTCCAACTTATTTTCTTCCGGTTAAATAACAATTGTTTCTCCATGCATCAAGAAATTGCCCTCTGCTTCTTCGGCTTAGATGATTATTATGAACAATTAACATATTGAGGCTCCATCACAGTGCTGCTGCCCCTTCAATATCATACACTTGCGTTTTTTTTTTTTTTTGGATGAGTCAACTTTGTACAGCTAAAGATTCTGTGCAGTGGTTAGGACTCCTAGACCCATTTCTTGTGACTAGGAATAAGATATGCATTAAATAGTTAATTTGTCTACAGCTTGTCATCCAAATCGCCCTTTGGGCTTTCCAACAAATCACCCGAGTATGACCCATCCGGTTGACGGATGCAAATGTTCAAATTGCTTGATAAGAAATGTTCCTAGATAGTGTAAATGGAAAAATGGTCAGCCATATCCTTGTCCAATAAACAGCAGATGCATGATTTTAATTTTTGGGCCACAGAAGATGCAGAATTAGGTGATAGATGAATGCAGCTTTTACACTAAAGCGAGAGAGTATCAACAGTTTAACTATTTCAAGAAGTTGATAAGTGAACTTTAGTAAATAACAGTACCTGGTCAACAGTCTCTTGGCCCTCTGAATGAAAGAGAATTGGCCTGCATCGCTTATCCTCATTCATCAAGCTCGAATTTTGGAAGTGTGTCACAAGTGCTGCCTTTCCTTGGATCCGTGCATAAGCCAGTGATGCAACTTTTTCACTATTAAATTTTTCCCATTTCTTCCCATTAAATTCCTGCACAAATTTCAATGGTTAGACTTCACTTAATTATGCACATGCTTATTGAGACCAGTACAAAATTTAAGCGAAAGAATAAAGCCAAAACCTACTCAAGGAATTCATGAAATTTTATTAAGAATTTTCACAGCATTGTCAGAAAGGTGTTTATTGTCATAATGTCAAGGTAAAATGTCACATTAGGGTGTCCTTACGGCACAAAGCCGCAAACTAAATTGAAATAACAGTAACAAAATTTAAACTGAAACATGAGAAAGAACCAAAGTTTAAACCTTGTAGAAGGGAACAATATGTGAAGCAGACACCATGTTGATGAAAGCGTAACCCACATTACACTTGTTCTGCAAGGAAAAAAGAATTTTAAGCAAAAAGCCACCTTGGAAAAAATCACTCGACAAATAAAATAATTTACAAAATAAGTATACCTTAAAGTCAATGGGCAAGTAGAGAAAGTCATAAGTGCCCCGGTGGTTCTCATCAATTGCAGACAGCAACATCTTTGAAGTGTACCTAAAAGGCAACACATATCACAAACATCACTCTAAAAATAAAAAAATTATTTAAAAAAAAAAAAAAAAGCTGCAGTCCAACTCAAATTGCTAATACGAGGCACATCACCAGATTAACATTCATACTTATTAGGAATGTTTTTAATCATTAAAGTAGTCCTTGTATCTTCGCCACTGATAATTTTGTCCAGGTCAAGTTGATACTGCTTCTTGCTATCAATTTGGGTAATGCTATTTTCAGGTCGCCGACTCCGGCCACGTTCAATAAACCCCTCACTGTTTGCAGCGACTGAAGAATAAGAACCATTTCCAAGAAACAAGGAACTGTGCCTGGGCAGTGACATCAACCTGAAACTAGGTGAATTAGTTTCAGCAGCACTTCCTGAAAGGCCAATAACCCCAGAAGCTGCACGAGCACCCATGTTCATAAAGTTCCCATCACCATGATTTATACTCCCATATGATGCTGGACTCATGAAAGAAGTTTCTGGTGAGTCCGGGAAATAGCTAAAATGCCTATCAAGAGGAAGGCCAGAAGGAGCAGATCCTACATGATGATGGGAGCGGGAACCAAGATAGGAACTGTGTCGATTAGTATATGGGAACCCCTGCTTCTCACCACTAGATGTAAAAGGGAGCCCAGCAGAAGACGACGACCAAGCAGAAGTGTTTGAATGGTCTGTGTAAGAAGTAGTTGGACTTCCCCAAAGAAATTGAGGACCAGATAGTGTTCCAATGCTTGATGAAGTTGAGCTTGACTCACCAAAAGTAGCAATGGGTCTAGAACTTGCATTTACTTTTAGCTCGGGAAATGACAGTGAATTCTGAAAAGCTACTCCTTTTGTTGATACTGCATTTGTAAATATCTGATTTGAACTATTAACTCTTGCTGAGTCCTTGCCAATTGGAGCAATCTTCGTAGAGTTTGATGCATGAGGGGAGAGAATTGCGGCCAATCCAGATGAATGGTTGCTATTTACTGGAGACTTGCTAAAAGAACTTAAATAACTATGTTCAACTGGACTGCTAAATTGTGCCCAGGTACCTGCACAAATTAGCCACTTAATTCAGATTCCAACTGAAAGGGCTTCTAAAAGACGACATAACTATAGTATATAACTGAACATGAGAAAAAAGGTTGAAATAAAAGAAACATACCAGGAGGAGAACTGGCCAAAGGTGAACCTGCTTGATGTCTAAAAGGCCGCGCTTCATCTAGGTCCAGCTCTTGACTCAGTTGTTGCATCAAACTGAAAAAAGAAAACGCATGACTAATTTTGAACTGGATCAATCAATTATGACCATACTGGCCTCATTACTGTAATTCAAGCAATATGGTCGAGACTTGTGATGTTAAAGGAATTTTAATTTAGTTAACCATCATACATTTGTGTGGTTCTACATTAGCCACTTAGCATAAATGATGAACACAAGTGGTAAGTGGCTAATTTTGTGTTTAATGCAGAATTAAATTTGGTTAGCCCAAGAAGTGATGTCAAAACCATTTCAAGTACAAGTCATAATGTACACTTGACTATAATATTCCCCAAGAACATATCAAAGATAAATAAGTGCTAATGTAATATAAAGGAAAAAAAACACCAACATGCATAAGAGAGTGAAGCCTTGAGTCTACAAGATTGAAAGGGAAAGGCTTAATTAAGGACCGAAAAAAGGAGGAAGCAAAATGCCACAAATTAGCCGCAGTTGCTTAAAAGATGGTGAGGCAACAAATTAACTAGAAAATTCTCCAATGCATGGCATGGGAACGTTCAATTTTTTTAGAGAAAAATATGTAGCTCAACAAAACACCCAACCCATTGAACTTATAAAATGTACCTCAACAAGAATTTTGTTTTAAATGATATAGGATTATTTTAAAAAAAGTCATTTCAATGAATAGTAATAGAATAATGTTAGAAAAATATTGTTTTTAGTACTATATTAATTACTTAATTTATAACACAACACCCTGACACTGTAATAGTGCAGTATATTTTTAAGATACTCAAGTCATAGGTCAGGAAAGCGAAATAATAGTGCATTTTGTTGACCAACTGTTTAGAAAATGCAAACAACCAATGTGAAACCTTACTTTCTTCGTGCCCCACCAGGGCGGCTGGGTTCAAGTTTGATGCGTTTCCCTGCAATATCACATCGATTTAATGCCTTAAGTGCGGCCTCAGCTGCTCTAACATCATAAAATTCAATAAATTTATGGTGTCTCTTATGTGGTGTTTCCCTTATCTGCAATTTTTAACACCAAGTAAAAAGATAACTAATACATGACAAGGTAAAAACCAAGAAGAAATCCAAACAAGAAATTCAGATGGACAGTGAGCACACTCGCAGAAATTTTACCTCTTTGACCTCCCCATAAGCCCCAAATATTAGGCGAAGATCATCATTTGACACTGACGGATCCAAATTGAAGACTACAAGAGTTCCTTGGTTGATGTCTTTTTCAGAGGGGTTGTCCTGAACAGTAGTGAAGAAGATTAGAACCGCCAAAAGAAGAAATCATATTAATTATATCTTAAGAATAGCTATAAAAAAAAAAAAAATCAAACCTTAGGGATTGAAAAATGAATGTCAAGTTTTCTTCGTCTCAAGGGCTTGTTTTGTAAAGCACGCATTGCGGTACGAGCATCTCGAATATCATAGTAAGATATCATCACAAAGCCCCGATGCTTGCATGCAGTGTACAAAGTTCTAATATCCCCATATTGCTATACAAACAAAAAGATAAAACAAGAAAGAAGAAATACAGAATCAAAATTAAGACTGAAAAAAAAAAACAAAGAAAAGTATAAAACCCATCCTCAATGCAGAACAAAAAAAACCCAAAAAAAAAATAGCATAATTAAAAAGGAGATCATTCAAATATCAACTGGAAGTATCTGTCACCAAAGCAGCACACGACAACCAAAAAGTCACACACAAACAAAAATTGTAGATAACAAAATGTTGGTTGTAATACTAGTGACATAGTTTTAGGCTCAGCTTCAAATTTCCCAACTTTTTTGTGAAATTATATTTGCCCTGGTTTTAAAAGGCTTTGGTGCAACCGTTATACTATGGGACAGATGAACTGCAGTCCGTTAAATATATAAGCCTGCAGCATCTTTTCGTTTGGGAAGAAAGAAAGAAAAATGAGGGGGGGAAAAAAGACTGCGAGGGTAGTAGAATTTTTCCTACGCCCAGACTACCAACATATCGGTTTCTTGGAAGTTTAAAGACAAAGGTGGAGAGTTTCCATATACTATCCTCTGTCTTCTTTATGACAAATATAGGCAAAGAGTGAGTATTATCATTCAACTCTTGTTTGCTCACAATCACCATATGGATAGGAATAAATTTACTGTAAAGCAGGGAACTAAAATGAGCAAAGAAATGCAACTGAAAAAGCAAAAGCATAATCATCCACCACATCAGAAAAGCATCAAAAGATAGACAAAATTCATTGAAGCACTAGCTTTAATGTAGCATACCTCAAACAGTGATCTTAATTCAGAATCCTCAACGTTACTGTTGATGTTTCTCACAAATAATGTTCTTGATGGATGTTCTCCATAGGGATGCTCCCCAGCCACAGGTCCCACACCATTTGGAAGTACATAATGGCCAATACCATTTGAAGCAACTCCATCAGTAATGCTCATCTTTGACATGCCAATCTTAAGACTCTCCTGGGGCTCAAAATCCATTCTAACCCTCCCCCACTACCAAACAAATCATTCTCGTCCAAATCCTCCAGTTGGCTGGGCAATCTACTCAGGTCAAAATCATCCATTATCCCAGCTAATAGCTCTTCTTCATCATCAGGAAGCATGTTTCCAACAGCATTGGTTTCAACATCTTCAAGGGGATCATACCCCCCAACTTCCTTGTCGTCTTTATTAAACACTGGCATGTTATCATCAAAAGGTTGGCCATTACGCACGGAATCAGGAAAATTCACTGCATATTGACAATAAAAACGAAAAGAAAAAAGGCATCAGAAATCATATCAGGTGACTCCAGCATTGCGTGTAAGAGAATCCCAAGCTTACACTTTTGATGTGGAAGAACAGGCAGGGAACAAGAAAACAAGCTAGCATCACTCGATGCATGATGTGCACCAACCCTGTGTGGTATCCCCCAAGCACTGCTTTCCGCATTTTTAGCAACATTAAGCAGAGAGATCCCGGAAAGATCTATATAAACAGTGTGCATAGCTGATTAATAGACATGAATTCTACGTTTATAGCTGAATGTTTGCATTACATGTAAAATAGGAAGCACCTGCTGACCCACAGGCTGACTTAGAATCCAAAGAATGCTTATCCTCTGACTCCATCGAATCACTTTCTGAAGGAAGAATAGATTAAAGAAGATGTGTGAGTAAATCGTTGAGTATCAATTATGCAAAGACAATGTAGCTAGAACCATAGTGATACAAATTTGTCACGGATCGTCACATAACATTGCCACAATTAAAGGAAGGAGTGTCATAATTCAGTCTCCCTTAAAGACAAGCTAAGGTTCCCTGATTTTTCTATCTCACTACATAGGATATACCGCCCAATGGGATGATTAGTACAAGAGTACAACCTCCAACGAGATGTGCCAAGTTTAATTAACCAACAACAGTAGCCACAACAACATGTTGATCAATAGCACTTCTATAAGATGGAGTTGAATAATTGAAATGGAACTGTAGTAAGGAATCAAATAATTCCATAATGGATGCATTTGGTTGAAGAAACAACAAGAGCCAAGGAATGTTGATTCTCATTGGAATCCATTTTCTCTCCTTTTTCTTGGTTCGGAAAGAGAAAGGCAGGAAAGGGGAGGGGGAACGGAAAATTAAATAAATTAAGTGGCAAGGGGATCGAGTTATAAAAAACGATATGGTAGTAGGTTATTACAAAATTCAAGCATATTCATTTGTGTCCTTTATGCTTCCAAACAAAAAGCACTGCAGTTTCTCTGTCTTTCCCTCGAATAAAATATGCCAAGAAAAGAAGTAAAAATCGGAACTTTCTCCATTCTGATCATTCTTTAATCATACTATGTTCAGTCCCTTCCACTACGTTTAACCCCTTTATCAAGCTGTCAATAATGGCAGATGGGTAGAGCACTATTTCGGCTCATCTAAAATTCAAAAGGATAACGTGCTTCGTGGTTTGTGACCATAAAAACATAAACATATATATAACAAGATAGCGAGATTAAAGGATTAAAGAATAACGGTGAAGCGAGAGAGCACTTAACAGCCGAAGCTTTTCACAACTGCCCACTAAGTTAACAAAGTCCCAGAGCAAAATAACCCAGTCCACAGTAATCCACAGATTTTATGTGCTGTACGCAAAAATGCACAGTTCTTCTATATGACTTGAAGAAACCACAACTGAAACTGGCAAGAGTCAACTTAAGTTCCAACCCGGAATCACCAAGCAAGTTCAATCAACAGTAGCAGCCCCAACAAGAAAAAGATACAGTTTTTCACTTCTCACCAACAGCACAGGTTTAATTTGCCAAAATTCTAAAATCCTACTCGCTAGGTATCGCGATCAAATGCAGCAAAAGGAGACCACGAAAGAATTGTTTCAGATTTGAAGAATTAGAAAGCTGAGAGAGAGTACAAGGAGCAGAAACATATGGTACCTGCAGAAGAGAAGACGAGAGTGAAGGAGGCGCTAGAGGGCGTCCATGGAGAATAGATTTTCTAGCTGACGGTTTAAACAGTTGTATTGATCACGGAAATTGGGTAGGGAGGGAGAGTTTCGTAGAAGCAGAGATATTTCTTTCTTTCACTCTTCTACTTCCTCCTCCATCGCCGGAAAACCAGAGTAAGAGAAGTGAGAGAAAATTTCACGAGCTGGAATTAAGGGGGGGAAAAGAAAAGAACACAGAAAAAAGCGTAGCAATCAAGAGCAAAAATTAGAGGGAGAAAGGAGAAAGCA